GGCTTCCGCAAATGATGTGAAGCTATTTAAAACCGAGCTGCAAGTAGTGGCCAGAGGAGCCGTGGTGGGGCAGCCCCTCGGTGGCCCCAGAGGGAGATGAAGAAGCGGGACGGCAACAGGAAAGGGCCCTCGGCCAACATGCTGCACCACGAGTCACGAACGACGCAGCCCATCCCCTGCCGGCCACTGAGGCATAAAGAAGCCCAGGGACAGCGTGTGACTAGAAGACAGGGAGGCTAGGCCCCCGAAGGCAGGCACGGTGGACAGGTCCAGCTCAACAGCCCTTGGGTCTGTTTCCCAGCAACCTCCTGAGGTGCCTCTGAGCCCGAAAGGTCAGGAGCAGGAGGTGGAGGGGAAGGGGCCACACGAGACAGCAAGCGCAGCAACAGAAGAAAAGGAATGACAGAGGCGGTTGTACTCCACGGAAAGCTGACACACAGCCCAGTCACACAAAGAAATGGAGCAAACTCTGCCAGCTCCCTCCTCCCAAAAAGTCCAGGGTGCCTGAGGCCACTGATATCCCTCCACACCGCAATCAGGGGGGCCACGGCAAAGCCAGCAGCCACCCGATCCGTCCTGTCTGCCACCGGTGTCCTCACCAGCCCGGGGGAACAAGCAGTGCAGCGCCAGGACACACCACCCCTGACAGGGGAGTCAGGCAGGCCAACACGCCACAGACAGGGGGGCAGTCCGCACTGCCAGAACCGAAGAGAGAAGAGAAGAGAGAGAGAGAGAGAGAGAGAGAGAGAGAGAAGCGCGCAAGCACGTGTGACTGTGTGTGTACAGGAAGACTTTAGGCAGTGGAGCACTCCCACCATTTAACAAGGCCCCTCACTTTCAGAGGGCTTGTCTCACACGTGCACGCACGCACACACACAAACACTCTCAAGCCTAAATCTACTCATACGCATGAATGCAATACTTCCCTTAGCAGCCTAAGTGCCGGAGAAAACCAATTTGGCAAATAGGACATACCCAGCTTCACCCAGGGAGGACGCCAAGGGGACCTAAGTCCTCTCGGCACAACAAGTTCCTGGGCTGTGCGGAACATGAAACAGGCTGCTGCAGGGACAGAGATCTGAGCAGGCCGGAGCCCCTGACTCCATTCCACAGCAGAAGGCTCCATGAGGCCGCATCTCTGAGCTGTACCTGAGATAGACCGAGTTCTGCCTGAGCACAGCCTCGGGACAGACACGGAATGCACTACGGGGAAAATCAGTAGCACCAAACAGGCACAGCAGGAGATGGCTAAGCCTTCAGTTAGCAAACAAATAGTGCTGAAGCACTTGCCACGTGAGTGCCCTTTCACAGGCAACCCAACAACCCAGCAATTACCTTCTTCCCCTTGTCCAAGTCAGGGCAGAGGGCCTCTGCCCACCCAGGTGCCGGGACGCTCTGCACCAGCCTGGGTAGTAATGCCCTTTAAAAGAGCACGCGTGTACTACTTTGAGGAAAAATGGAGAATTCCGATTTCTTATTGACTGAAGAAAGCTATCAGTCAGTACAAATTCTTCAGATTGAACTCTGCTTGATGTCCGCTGTCATCCCACTAGCATGTAAATAAAGGACAGCCAGCTCAAGCATTGAACAAAAATGACCTTTAACGCGGCAAGCAGGCTAAAACAGTGAAAAGCGGGTGTCCTGTGGCAGCATGTGACAATGCACACAAAGCCTGGCTCAGCCACTAAAGGCACGTGCTTTTAGGCCATTGCTCCTGAGGCTCGCCCCTCAGAGAATCCCAGGGAGACCTGCGGACCCCAGAGGCCATCACCACTATAGCAAACCCCAGATGGGTGTGGCATCCAACCCCTTCCCCCTAGTTCACTGCCACAAGCCTGACCACCATCACCTTGTGCCTGGTCCACAGTGACAGTCTCCTGGCTGGTCTTCCTGCTAACACCCCCACGCTCCGCATCCTGCTGAGCAGCAGAGATTGCTGCTGAAAATGTCAGGTCACACCGTCCGTCCCCCGTGTCTTCCCAAGACCCTGATGAGACCACGCACTCCTGAGCACGGCTTCAGGTGCGTGCCCAGCCACTCCCTGCTCTCTGGCCTCCAAACCAGCACTGGGTGCTCTCTCACCAGGCCCAGCCACTCCGCAGCTGTCTCCGGGCCTTTGTACTGCTGCTCTTTCCACCTGGAATCCCCATCTCCCAAAATTCCCACGGCTCCCATGAGGTTCCACCCAAGGTCTTAGTTCACATGCATCTCCCCAGAGACAAGCTCCTCTACCACCTTCCCCACCCAAAGCAGCAGCTCCTCCACCGCGCCAGCCCGGCTCTGGCCTGCGGCTCTCGCCCAGTTCAAGATGGGTCCCTGGGAAGGGTTTCCTCCACACACTTTACTGCAGCACCCTCAGTCCTGCACGGCCAGCACAGAGGAGGACCGGGAAGCTCTTTGTGGCTGAATGGAGGTGCGGACGGTGGAGGCACGGACTGTGCAGGCGCGGACGGTGCAGGCGCGGATGGTGCAGCTGCTCCCTGGTGCCCTGCATGTGAGCCCTCCCCTTGCTCCCTTCTCCAGGTTTTGTGCCATTGGCAGGGCCTGGGCTCATTCTGGGGGTCTGTGGGGACAGATAATGAATGCCGTGGGTGCCTGCCTGGGTTTGTGATCAGCCTCTCCCATCTGTTTCCTCTACCAGGCAATGCTGCAGCCTGGCACTTCAAATATCAACCAGTCAGGACCTCCGGGCCCCCACTGTCTGAGCGGAAAAACGCACAGAGAGGAAGGGACAGAAGCAACTCCATCGAAAGGGACAGGGAAGATAGGAGCACTTGGTGAAGGGAGACTGCACAGAGGTGACGGGAAGAGAGGGGGGTGAAAGCTGAGGCGGGAGGAGGAGAGGAGCCTTCTATGCAGAGAAAAGAGCATGTGTGCACACATGGAGAAGAACACACGCACACACACTGAGAAGAGCACACACACA